GTGCCTTGTTGAGGGCCGTTGCTGCCTGTGCATCCGCCTGCCCCGCTCTCCCTGAGATGTCACCCCCTTCGTCCTGCCCCCAGGACAAAGCAAACTCTTCCTTTTTGGAGAATCACTCTAAAGTCCAAGGCAAGCAGCAGCTGCCTCGTTCCGCCTCGAGTACTAAAGGTTCCTCCGTGGTGGCAGCAGGTCTCGTTTACTTTCCTGTTATCTCCCCTCCTCCAGCCCACGTTATTAGCCAACTCGCATTAAGTGAAGTTTGGATGTCCTTCTGAAACCACCCTTCTTGGGCTTGGCTGGGGATAGTTAAAGTGGCTCCTTTTGACTTAAAACCTTCAGAACTAGCTGACCACAGATATATATACATAAAAATACCTACATATTAGAAAAGATACCTACATATATATATATATATATATGTGCCCTTCCTGTGAAACTCTGTGTCCTCTCCTCTCGTCCCCTTGCGCACAGCACAGTGGCTTCGAGATCAGGCTGTTCTTGGTGAGAGGGCAAGATGAGGGGTTCGGTGTCCCTGTGCTGGCACTAGCAGAGAAGTTGTGACTCTCTGCAGCGACTGTTCTGTGCCGAGCATAGCAGGGGCCAGGGCACGCATAGGAGCTGGCTGTGGTCTCGGGGAAGGGGGAGCGCTGCGCGCTACCGCACGAGCGGGAATTTTTTTGGAAAGAGGGGAAAGGGGCAAGGAGAGAGGAGCCAGCAGGAGTGAGGTTCACTTACCGTATCGACATCTGTACTGACAAACGCCGTTTTTTCCCCCAAGCAGTTCCAAGAAGGAGTCGAAGTAGCTGTTAACCGTTTCGAAGCTGTCCCGGATGGCCCCAATGCCCCAGTCTGTATAGGATGACTCTGCCTGGGGAGCTTGGTGGACCGTGTTCTGCTGCGTTGTTTCCTCGCTGCATTGTCCTAAGCCCAGGGTCAGGCACAGAACCGCTGCCTCGAAAAGCAGCCGCATGCTGCAGTCCAGATCCAGGCCCCGGAGCCCTCGTCCAGGCAGATGTGCAGGCAGGGAGGAGTGGGAGCGAGCGGTTGTGCGGAGGAGGCAGGTAAGCACCCCTCTCCCCTGGACTTTAAACGCTGCCAAGGGAGCCGGCATGAGGTCACCACAGTCAGAGTGCAAAGTGCACTGTGGAGATTTGGACCAAGTTCGTCTCGCGGAGAAACACCGGGGTTTGAGTTTGCCCAATCCCGCTGGAACAGGCTCAGCCCCTGTGGCGCCAGGGCTTCGGTTTCCCCAAAAGGGGCCGCTCCCCGGGGTGCTGAGCGGGGTCTGTCTGCCCGGGTTGCGTGGCACAAAGGAGACGCTCTGCCTGCCCCACCGAGACCCTGCACGGGCTGCCCCACTCCCTCCCCAGCCTGTTGGGAGATGAAGAGTATCTCTTTGTCCAAAATTTCTGCTGCTCAGGCAAGGGGAGTAATAGATCAGCAGCAGACTGAGGAGCACCTCTCGCCTTTTTCCTAGGCTTCCTGGGCACATAATAGGGTGGGACGAGACATCCACCCCATGCTGTGGGGGATTGCTCCTAGCAAAGCCTGTGGGACCGCGGGGCTGACACGCTTGTCGTGTGAAGGGGCTTTCCACGCCCGCACGCCCAGGGCAGAAAGGGTGGCAGGGCGCGCCGTGCCCCGCTCCGCTATGGGTAGAGGGTGCTGTTGGGCCTCGTCAGGGTTGATCCAGCAGCTAGGAGTAGTTTGGATTTAGAAACAACTGCATTCAGGGCAATCCCTTGGCACCTCCCCTCTGGATCGATGCCGTAGATGAGTATTTGCCTTTGATGGGACTCCTGAAGGCTGATGCCAGATGGATGATTGTTGCAGCTTTTGCGGAATGCCAGCGTTGCTGAATTCAACGTGTAGCATAGGTGGCCCAGAGCGAGGAAGGGCTGGCACCGAAACCCAAGTCAGGTAACGGGCTTGTGGGGGAGCTGCAGGTCCCAGCTCTGGGCTGGCACTGGCCTGCCAGGACCCGCGGGCTGCAGAGCTGGCGGAGGGTTCAGAGAAGTTACTCATTAAAAGAAAACAACCAAATGAACACCCACAGCGAAAGACAACGTGAACCGCTGATAAAGAATAGGGAAGGGAAATGGCATGGGAAGGCTCTGGCTGCTCTCGGAAAGCTTTTCGGATGTGTCTCAGCACAGCACTGCCTCTCAGAAACAGCCGCTCCGCAGCTGATGGGCAGGTCGGCTGATCTCTGGGAACTCCAGCGGCCAGCTCCAGCAGTCGTTTCTGTTTGAGCAGCCACGCTGTCGAGTAGAGACTCTCCAGAGGGCAAGGGGGAGCTAAGCAGCGGGTCTTTCAAATATATGGCAAACATAAGTGCAGATTCTGACACTTTATTGTTTTGCAGGAGACTCGGCCCCGCTGCATTGTTACTTCTGAAGCGCCAGAGCCCTGCGGCACCCGCCTGCCTGCGTCTCTCTGCGTACGGCCGTGTGTTATGTGCTCCAGATGTGGGATGAGGAGGAGGGACCACAGCCAAGTCTTGGGTTTCTCAGGTAAGCCAGAGAAGGAGTGGGGAAGAGGAGCAGACAAGCTGGTCAGTCCATTTCCTGTGAAATGGTGTGGAGCCGGAGCCAGCTGCTGCCTTCTTTGTTGCCTCTGTCCTGGTGCCCACCGCTGACTGCGCTCGGTGCCCCTCAGAAAGGGGGTGTGAGGGTTCCTCAGGTCAGCGGCCGGAGGCGATTCGGTTGTACTGATACCCGCGTGGTGCCTCCCTGGACGCTGTTACGCAGCCGGAGCTGCGCATCGCTGTCCCGGCCCGTGGGAGGAAGCTTGGCTGAGTAACTGGATGAGGGGACCTGTAAGGTGTGCAGGAGGTCCCAAGGGAACCTCAAACCGCCTTTGCCTTTTGGGGAGCTGAACCCAAGGAGAGAGGCAGGGAGCATCGGGAAGGGAGGTTGGCAGTGTCCAAGCTGCAGGCAAGGAGGGTGAGCACTGTAATGCCTGGTGAGAAATTCGGGTGATGTTTTGGGTTGAGCTCGAGGTTGCTACTAGATGGTCCGTTCCCCCGCGCGTGGGAACAAGCAAGTCCCTGCCTCTCACGAGCCTTTCTCCAACAGGGTGTCACCGCTGGCACAAAGCCGTGGGGACGCTCGGGCAGCGAGGACTCCCCTGCGGGAGCACCTGGCAGGGCAGGATGGGAGAGCTGGGGCCTGTCCCGCTGTTCAGACCGCGCTGGGGACTGGTCTGTCAGTCACGGGTGGGAACGGGCTGCTGTCCCTGGAATTTGTTGTTAAGGAGCCCCAGTGAAGGGAAAACAAGGTTCAAGAGTCCCACGCTGTGCCTTGCGCTGAGGGGAGCCGTGCGCGTCGCTGTTGGCTGAATCGCCGCCCTGCGTGACGCGCCGGTTTGCAGCCCTACTGCTCCCCGCCCTTAGAAACAGCCTGGCAGAAGTTAATGTGAAAAAGAGCAAAACAGCTTTTCAGAAATAGCTTGGGAACGTTGTGTAGAGCCCCTGGGTGGCTGTGCTCGGTGCCGTGCTTTTATGCAGAGCCTTTGAGGGGTGCTCTGGAGGCGATTCCAGAAGACGGCTTTCTTTTGTCATCCCTTAGTCCCCGGCGGCTGATCCATGCGCCGCTGAGTGCCAAGAGAGAGAGGAAAAAAAAACGCCGGCAGGACTGCAGAGGATGCAAAAGGCAGTGACTGTTGCATGAGCTGTCCGTGCCGCGCCACGCAGGACACGCAGCCTGGAGCGGGGTGGCTCTGCCCAGAGCGTGGATTTTGCAATCGATCGGAATTAGTTAGGAAAGCTGAACAGGGTGGGGGGGGAGCAGCTGGCAAAGTGCAGGGCCTGGGAAAAGAGGAGTCGGAAACTTTCCCCGCTAGTTCGTTGCTTGTTGTCCCGGAGCAGAAGTTTGTGAATAAAAAAGCAGTCTAACTGCTTTCCCCGAACGTGGCAGCCCCTTTCCCCTGCCCCAGGGGTGAGCCACTCTCCTTCCTTCCACCCCAGTCTCCCGAGACGTTTTCAGGCCAGCTGCAAATAACTTGGTTGCACTCAGACTTCAAGATCTGAAGACCAGGAAGAACGTAGGACCAAGTAAAACTAACAAACGCTGCCCAAGGCCTCCCCCCCACACCGAGTTATCTCGGGGAGTTGCTGCTCAGGCTCAAACGCTGCAGAAGC